TATATTATATATATATAGTATATATATACTATATATATATATATATAATATATATATATATATATATATATATAATATATATATATATATATATATATATATATATATATACAGAATAAACGCGAAATTAATAATTATGCACTCTAAGTCTCTCTACTACTCTCTATGTATTCACTATTCAGACTTCAGTATAGTTATTTTTAGTTTTTTTTATTATTACCACAATTGACAATTTTATATGTTACATACTTCCTCTTTTTTCTACTCTCAATCTTCTCTCCAGAGTAGGATATGAAAGTTATAATAGGGGTTGACGACAAAATAGGTAGGTTTTTTGAAGACGGGGAATTTTACTATAGAGGTTGACCCAGAGGTACATGAAATATTTACGTTCATTGGTCATTAGATAGCTTAATATGTTCGTCTCGACGAGTTAGCCACGCATTTTTAATCCTATCCCGATCGGTCTATTGGTTCAAAAGTTATGGCAAATACTAGTTTGTACTCGAATTGGGACAAACTAACCATACGTAGGTGTTGTGCATGTCCATGTATACCTATCCGATGCTCCTGGGATCAAAATATGTTATTCTAATACTCTTTGGGAGGATATATATGCACGCACAGCGACTCTGGAGATGTGTTTCGTGTACCTCGCTTTGTCACTGGTACAAAATGTACTAGGTAGAGAAACTGGTACCTCAAATACACCTCCAGAGTCGCTGCGCATGCACATATATCCTCCTTTGATCCCAGGAGCATCGGATAGGTGTACATGGACATACATGTCTACGTATGGCTAGTTTGACTCAGTTCTGGTACAAAACTAGTATTTGATTTAACTTTTGAACCAATAGGCCGATCGGGATGAGATTGAAAATACGTGGCTAACTCGTCAAGACGAACATTTTAAGCTATCTAACGACCAATGAACGTAATATTTTATGTACTTCTGGATCAATCTCTATAGTAAAATTCCCCCGTCTCAAAAAGCCTTTTTCTTTTTGTTGTCAACCTGAGCTTCCAAGGGTTCACACCTTCACTGATGACTCACTGATGACTCACTGATTGCAAATAACATGTATATTTAAACAAAACAAAAATAGTATATTTACATTGTGGTATATTATAGCCTCCTATATAGTACAGATACATAGTTGATACAATTACATACGTCTCCTATTGACATTGTAGACTTAATTTGTTTTCGATATTCATACTACGAATCAAGCGCCCTCGCTGAGTGTATGAGCGATAAATACAATCTTGGCCAGATGGAGAGTATGTCGTTTTTAAGTGCGGCATGTACAAATTATACCTTAATGTGTATGACTGTGGGTGATAATCCTTGCGGACGTTTTCCGTTGCGACTAAGTATGCAACACACTGCAGCCTATTGAGCACTTGCAAATTCTTCTATACAGCGCTTTACGCTCCATGACATATACTACACAATCTAGTCATAACATACGTTAATATGTTCACTATAGCGTTGTGGATCGACACAAACTTAGGTACATCTCTACGTCATATAAATGTGTGCCCAGAAAACAGTACAAAATACCAAATCTATGTACTATTAAGCTCCGGAAGCAAAATGGCGAGTACATGGTATGATTTTGAAGTATGTAACTGGAGTATAATAATATTAGTGCCCCTACACAACTTTATGTTCGCACATGTATACCCTAGCGTATATGTATGTGGTTGTACATATTTCTAAGCATGCTTACATATATATATGTATCTATATATGTATATGTGTATATA